TATTTTATTTATATAATAAGAGATAACTCTCTTTCATCCCTTAATTTACTGCACTCACATACCAAGCAACTCAAATTTATAATATTTTACTTTTATTAGAAGGAGATTACCATTGCCTTACTCCACTAATTTCCTTTTTGCTTTTCCCTTATTTCTCATGCAATGACCTGCAACATAATCCATTTGATCCTTGCAATTCAGAAAGAAATGATCCATATGTAGTTTGGGCTAAATCTATTGCATTTAGACAAAGGAAATACCATTTTCAGCAGGCTAAACAGCTGATGCTTGGCAGGGTTGCAGGATGCCCTAACATACACGGTAACATTTCATGCTCCATGTGAAGCTTGTGAAGCAACTGATGCTCGAAAAAGGCAGGTTTACCTTCTCCCTCTTCGGGTATAATACTGACTAGAGGCTTCTTCTTTATTCTATATCCAGAGATATATATACATATATATATATATATATTATTTTTTGTTGTTTCCCTTTAATTGCTAAGGAGATCTTACCACTTGTGTTTCATGGCAAGAAGTTTCCCGCCTTATCTGGCCATCTTCTATTAAATGGCCACATCCATGCAAGCAACAAATAAACATTGGTTTTAGTCATGTGCCGCACGCAATTACCATAACGGCCAATTTGCGCAGATCGGGCGGTTTTAGAGCTGATGTGCTCGATTCATTTTATATGTGCCTACACACTAAAGTGTGTTTAGAATTAGTATAAAATACTATGATTATAACTATAATTATGTTAAACTATATCGTACTATAATTGTGATTAAAAGTTAATTTAGTGTTTAATTATTTATTTTTTAAAAGTATTATAAATAAAATAAAATAAATTTTATTAATTATTAATTAAAATTTAAAAAATATTATAAGATAAATAATTATTAAAATAAATAATATTTACTTTTTTTAATAATTTAAGTTTTTTAGATTTGTTATCATTATTAAAATATTATAAATTATGATATAACTAAATTATCAAAAATTAAATTTTAATGGATAATTTTGTAATTATATTAAATATTAAGTGTTTTCCGTAAAAACTATAAGCAGAAAACTTCAAAATAAGAGTTTTAACTTTATATATAAAATTATTATAAATCTATTATAATTTTCTACATCTTTTAAAAAAGACAGACTGAAGAAAAATTACCAAACACATAAATATCTAAAAGTATTATACAACTACACAAATATACTTCCAACCACAACCCCAAATGCACCCTAAAATGCGGGTAAGTTTTGAGACTTAACAATGGGTTTTCCCTAAAGAAAACGGAACTTAAATCCTGATATAATATTACAACAAGAGTTTAGCCGAACTGTACCTAAAAAAAAAAAAAAAAACCCCTTAATTTAAGATCAAGGTTAGATTTAAAAATTTTTGTATTATTAAACAGTTATCTCTTCAATATATCATAAAGAAATCCTAATATAATATCATATATAAAGAGAATCAAATAAAATGCCAATGAACAATAATGAAATAGAATTGTCCCAACGTTCACAAATTTCCACTTAATTAGTTCACAAATGAGATTTTCCCAGTTAACCTTCTCTGTGAAAAGGCTTGGTGGATGATCAGCCTCTGTGGTAGGCATTAGGACCTGGGTTCAAGTCCATGTAATTGCAATCCCATCCCCCAACCCACATTGTAAAATTGCAATGAAATATCAGTCAAGGATGAAGTGATGGGTTCTAGCACAATACCATTTTCCATTTTACAAAAAACTGTAAGCCGAAAACCATTATGTTGAACTCCACTGCACCAACCGAAAAAACCAGATGCTTATAGCTTGAAACAAAGTGCGTGCAAAAAAAGAACAACTTCACTTAAATATCACAGCCCGCCTGACACTGTTCACATGTAAAAAGTAGGCACTAATTTTATGGAAAGGTATCATTTTCTTGATAACAAAAGTTACCTGAAGAAAGGTCGTAATGCCTACACCACCGGCTTGCATCCTCTAGGAAAATTAGGCATCAAGGCCTAACTTTAATGGAGTGAATGGACTAATAAGAAGGCTGCACTATCTACTGAAACGTGTAAGCTTAGTATTTTTCTTCAGGAGTTGAATGGAAAAACCTTATCATGATGTTCTTAAACAGCCCCCGGGAAGAAGAAACCTAAATTTATCTGCATTCTCTATCACATATGCAGGAAGATGAACTGCTGAAGCTGAATGAGGTATTGAACCCATCTTCTTAATCAATTCCTGGAAGGTGTACTCTTCAGGGAGCATATCAAAAAGATCATCTCCCTTACAAACAATCCTCTGTATTCTAGAGTAATCCAGAAAATCTTTCTGCTTCACTCTGTCTGCATGACTATAAGCAGTCATCTTAAAGACAAATTCTTCAAGATGCCGGAAGCAAAAGCTGCAATGCCATCCTGCATCAGAGAGGATAAGATTGGTTTGGCGTGAGTGGCGATACCTAGTCCAAGGACCATAAATTTGGATTGAGGCACGCCAGCTGCTATAATCCACAGGGAACTCAAATGAGTACATGTAATGCCTCAACTCAAGGTGCAAGAGAGAGGGAATTCCATCACACCATTGCAGTAACTTCAAAGTGTGCGGACTTGGGATTTCATCAGTGTCTGACATTATTAGTAGGTCTCCTGTGGATATCTCTGCTTGGCGGAGCAACCCATTCATAGCCCCACGCTGCTCTGATTCAAGAACAAAAGGTTCTTCATGTGACCCATGGAATGCAACTCGACCAGGAAATACACCATGGACAATCTTGTCCTTGGCAAAGTCAAATCTGGCATGGTTTGAGGCAAAGAATAGAGGTTTGGGAATGCCTGTGAAAGTAGTATTTGACTCAAGGATTACAAATTTGGAAACATAGGGATCAAGCTCATGCCACCTGATCTCAAGCAAATCTAGCTCATTGCTAAAGATGATACCATCAAAGATTCGACGAGGTTCTGAGCGTATGGACCAACCATGTAGGTGGCAGAGATGTTCCATTGAAATATTTTCTGCATAATAGTGAGGTATGCGTTCAAATGGAGGAGGGGGATTGTCCCAAACTGGACGGAAAAAGTAGGATATTTTCTGACCATGAATGCATATACCTATCACAGAAATTGGTATGACTATCAAGAGAATAAAAACAAGAAGCTTGGGAGGTAATTTTCGAGAGGTGACACGAAGCTGTCTTGTGGCCATGACCAATACGGGAAATCAGTGACATGCTTGTCCTAATTCACTTATCAATAGAATCATGTCTCTGATTATCTCAATCACCTGAAAAATTTTCACCTAAAACATAAGTTTGACAGATTTAACATAAAAGACATTCAAAATTAATAAATTGCTTTTCAAAAAGAGTTAAGGACAAAAATCAAGTGAGAACAATGAAGTGTGTTTATAACCAGCATTGAGACATTGATCTATGATAATCGGGAGAAAAAAAAGCAAGCTTGATTCAGAGGATAGATCCGTAAAGAAACTAGAAAAGAGTCAAGTATCATTAGTTGCCTTGTATAGGCCTTCACTAGAATAATCAACCAAATGCTAATGTTTGCAGCAAGTTTAAAACTTAAAAGGTCCACCTGAGGTGATAGTTGAATTCTACATCAATGAAGTGGGTCAATTTTTTTGCAAAAAGTTCACCATCAAGGATCTACTGAAAATATATAGGCTTTAGTCTAGAATGCTCAATAATATACCATATAAATTTAGTCATAACAGATAAGCAACCTCAAATATGGCTGCATAAACAAGCATGATAGCAGCATTCACAAAACTACAAAATGTTTCCAAATTTCCTTCAAAACTAATAAAATTGCTTCCTTCTATTTTTTAGTTGCCATGACAGCTAGAAACTGAGAAAAGGACTAGAGACCAAATTTTGTATATTCAATTAGTTGAGACAAAAAAGAAAACTAGGCTAAACAAGGTAGGAAAGAGAAAAATTGTAGGATTTACAGTTGCTGTACCACCAATTAGAATATATATAAACTGCCATTTAAAATATTGTTGGAAAACAAATTAAAATCAAGATTCCCAATCATCTTGGCAAATAGGAACAGTGGCATAAATGCCATTATAAGCAACAAAGTAACTAAGCATGCAAGTAAAGCACAGAATAACCCATGCCATATCCATGCTAATTTGTTTCTAGCTAAGCATCTTATGCAGCTTACATTTATAACAGTTTCTAATGCAAGTATGGCAACAAGGAAAAACAGAGGAACATATCAATTCAAGGACAATCAGCATATTAGGAATAGGAATAACAAAGAAATAAAGCATATAGACAAACAGAAGTAAAGTATTGGAAATTTCATCACCCAGTAACAATAACTTGTTAACTGGGAGCAATTTTGGGATAAAGCATTTAATATGTGAAACTAACAGGCAGCCATAGAGAAATAAATCTGTCCAGACTTTAAAAGGCCAAGGAATTTCATCCGAAAGGAATTCATAACAGGACCATAAAGAAAATGTGCTTCAAGATTATAATCCACCAAAACAAAGCAAGCTATGAGAAGGAACTTGATTGGATTAAGCAGCATTTTATGCCAAACCCTTATTAGTGATCCTCCCCAGGCTTGCCTGGTCTGGAACAATTTATCATGTATGGAAGGAAAGGAATCAGGAAGACTTCATTCAATGAAAAATCATGGGTAGGTTTACCTTTGTTTCAAGTCATTGATGACATTAGAATCAAAATTGCAGGCTATTTTAAATTTTAAAGAGTGGAATTATCTGTGATAAATGGGGTATTACTCTAGGTACCAAGGAAAAATATTCTTTTCCGTTATATTTTCTGTTTTTGTTTCTGTTTCCAAAATTCTAAGTTGCAGTTCCTTCTCTAGTTGGCAGGGAAACCCCTGCCTAGTCTTTTCTTAGAACTGAACTTTTCACTCATCCAAAAATTTGATTTGCCAAGGGAACAAGAGAAAAACTTTTTAAAGCAACCAATACAGCAGTTGCCAACTCAAAAACACAGGCTAAGGCAAAAGAAAAAAAGGGTCAATTATTCAGTGCAGTCTTCTCTATTGTACATCTCCTATTTTAGGTTAAAAACTACTTAAACACGATATTCTCATGTGATTCATAGCACAATCTTTTTCCTCAGAAATAAACTCCCAATCCGTCCTACCGATTATCAAAAAAACTCTTGAACATTATGTTCTCAAGTGAGTTCATGGTAAAATCTTTTTTCCTTTACCTCGGAAGCAAACACCCTTCTTAAAAGCCATCCATAATCTAGTGAAGAACCAAAGGAAAAGAAATAGGGTAAAATATAAATAAAAATAAAAAATAAAAAAAAGGACTTTCACCAGTACATGAAACCCAATTTCCCTCCTTAAAATCCATCCATTTGATAAAGAAAAAGCAACCCTTTTCTTTTCCTTTTGGAATCATGTCACTAACCATAGGGACTACAAATACATTTGATAAAGAAAAAGCAACATTTTAGCTTTCATTGAATTTTAAAACAGAGCACATGAAAGGGGAGAAAAAAGCAAAAACCCAAACCACAAAAGAAAACGAGGTGGAAAAAAAAGGTACAAAGCTCATATTTTTTAAAAGTCAGATGTTTTATTGACACCAAACCCTAAATTAATCAAAAGCTACAGATTTGAAACTACAACAAAGGAAAATTGGAGGAAAAAAATGTAAGAAGATACCGTGTTGAAAGGCGTAATGGCTGAGGGATTTCGCCGGCGACCATGTTCCGGCCAGTTCATTCAAAATCACGATTGAATTCCTCCGCCATTGTTGTTTCTCGAAGCTGGAGGTAACTAGGAGAATCAAAACCAATAATTTAACAGCAACTTCTCTAAATGCACTGCGAGGACGGGAGAGATGAGACGAAAAATTTTTTTTTTTTTTTTGAGAATGAGTGGGACCTCTGATAAGGGCCAGTAACATGCTTAGTCAACCATATTTTTCCTTTTTTATTAATCTTATATTTATAATCACGATGTTCCTTTTCTCACATTTCAAAACTCTTTCGTTAGCTACTTTTAGATGTTTACTCTTATGTAAACCTAATGCATATAAAAAACTTAATTTTTTTAAAGTATTGATTTAAAAATTTAAAATTTAAAGTTAACCTATAAGAAATTAAATACTTACTAATGTATGATAAGATGTAATTATGGCTACATTAATTTTTTTAAGCCTAAAATTAATCTATCAATTTGGTTGTTAAAAATAACTAGTAGTTAATAAAATAATTAATATTTATCATTTAAATAAGAATCAATTTATATATAAATTTTACACATTACATTTATATGAAACTTTAACTATTCATCTTTCTATTTTTAATAATTGAGATTTATTTATAATTATTAGAAATAATTATTGTTTTTATATAAAAATTTGTAATAAATTTTAATTATTAAAAGTAAAGAAATGAATTGTTAATATTTTATATAAATATGATATGTAAAATTTGTATGTAAATGAATTCTTTCTCTCATAATTTAATAATAATTAAAAATATTTTATGTATAAATATTTTTTAAAAATTATAACTAAATATTTAAAAAAATTATAAACTAATATTTCATCCATTTATTTTCGGTAGATTTAATTTATTTTTTAATTTTCAATATATAAATTTTTATAAAAAAATTTAACAATTTATAGGATAATAATTGAAAACCTTTTAATAAAAAAATATTAAACAAAGACTATATATAAGGTTAAAAAGTTTCAATTGTTATTTATATACATCATTAAATTTTTATTAAAATTTATATTTTAAAAATAAAAAATAAATTAAGTCTAAAATTCAACGAGTAAAATTTAAGTACTTAAGTAAAATTGTGGGGCTAACCAAAATTTGTGAAGCAATCACTACTGCCGTCTAGTTCGGTGTCTTAGACTTTTCTTTACTTTGTACAGAAAAGAAAAATGATTTTTTTAATTTATGTTTAAATGATATTTTCTTATCATAAAATTATATAAAAAATATAAAAATTAATGTTAATTTTAAATTTATTATTATGTAAATAAATTTAATTAAATAATTAATAAATTAAATATTAATATTTATTTTTTTTTTTAAATTTAACTTATACCCCTACTATACAAACTAAAAAAATCATGAGAAAAGTACAAGCAAAATGGGTTCCTAAAATGGTTTCTAATTGAGGGTAGTTTGGGAAAGATACCGTGCTAGATGATGCAGATAAGTTTTCGAGGGCATGCAGGTCAAAAGCTACAGATTGCGCGACATTTACGGGTATTGGAGCATGAGTCATGCTTAGAAACTTTATGCCTCAGACGGCACGTCATCGATGGATATTAATTGGCCTTAGATCATTCAAGTTCACTGTACCAAGACTTTCTTTAACACCACTAGAATTTCAGGCTGTTGGAATCAATTTACATTTTTTTAGAAAACAAAATTGTTAGATTCTGATAATAAAATAAGGAAGAAAATAAAATCAAGATGTTAGGTCATTTATTTAATTATTTGTAAAATTATTTAATTATTTTTAATAAATTTATATAATTTTAATTTATTAAAAATATTTAAATTTTTATATTATTATTTTCATGTTTTAATTACTATAATATCTTAATTTTTTTAATCTCATAAAATAAAATATAAAAAAAAGAGATATTAAATAATTAATTTATTTAGAACATCGTGTTAATTTGAACCTACATAAAAAAATTATATGTTGGGTCTTCATAAAAAAAATTATAAAAATAATATAGTTACTATATTATTTGATATTGTAAACCTACCATTATAATGTGTAGTTAAAATCATAAGTATCTTTTTCATTTTCTTATTATTGATAAGCCTCACAAAGCTTGTTAAGGAGTCAATCAAGTTGTATTATCATGACAACACACAAGAAAGAATATAAACACATATGAGGAGATATTATCTCAAATTCAAAAGGCATGTCTATTAGTTAAGTTCATTGATTCCCATATATATATTCTACTCTAACACTCTGTTTCTCTTCGATGCAAGATCTATGCACTTTTCTTAACTCCACCTCATCTCCTCATATGTGAACTTTTTACTGACATTCTTCCCTATTCACATGTGAATTTGGTCACTCTTACTGTGAACCTTAATATGTTTGCCGAAGACATCTTAGCCTTCAATTCTTGCCATAGAACTAATTTAAAGTCATTTCTTCCATAGACCTCACCACACTCACAATCCTGATCACCAATCACACCATCAACTTTGATACCTTTTGTTTTGATGATTGTTGTTTTCATTAGGAGTTAGGATACTAAATTAAAACGACTCCATTTCCTCTTCCTTCACATTTTGTTTTGTAAGTGGTGATTTTTCACCTCTATTTTTATTTGAATTGATAGAGAACTTAAATCAATAGTGACCATACATGTGCCACTAATAATATTCAACATTCAACTTATTTGTCAACTTTACTATATAATTTGCCACTTGACCATCAGCACTTCTCCATTTTTGTTCTTGATGTCTAGTGGAAGAAATCTCTTCTAATATGTTTTTGCCAAAATAGCTTCTAGTGGTAGAATTTTTTTCCAATTAGATAGACCAATTTCTTCCAAACTAGCTCCCTTTACCTTGGCCAAGACCCTTTGTTGTAGCCTATAGAGTTTGTTCTTCTTGATTTAATGGTTGATTTTCCACTCAAGCACCAACAATGAATTTTACAACTCATTAAGAGATCATTAAGATTCTTGGATTCCTTAATCGAACCAATAGCACAATTATATTTAATAGTCATGGATTGAAATAACTTTCTGATAAGGATTTTTCTAACCTATCTCCTAAAATTTTTTACATTAATTTTAGTATCATTGCCACATAAATAAAGTTAATTGGACTATTGATAAATCGAAGGTCAACTTTTATTCTTTCAACACATGTTTATAATGAAAAAGTATATTTATTACACTTTTTAAGGCACAAGTTAGAAAAATGCTTTCAACAATGGCAACATCTTCTAATCTTTCACCATCAACTTGCAACTCATTTTTGCTTTCTATTCACGGGTTTTGCTTATTCTTATGGTATTTAATAACTTCGTGTGGCCTTCGATTCTTCATTTCGGTGGTTACCATTGTAATACCCCAAAAATTTTTAGAACAATTAAGTGTGAGTTAGGGACCTAATTGTGAGAAAATAATATTGTTGAGTTTAATCATAAAATTTTCAAATTTGAGGGACTTAAAAGAGAAAAGAATTAGGATAAGGTTCGGCTGATTTTTTTTTCTTTTCTTCTTTCTTTCTTCCTCGGCCGCGCGTTTTTGCTCTTCTTCTTCTCCCTTGCAGCGGAACAAGAAGCCCCAAGCCACCGACAACACCCACCCTCTTGAGAAACGGTAAAAGCTTGATTTTTCTCTTCTTTTCTTGTTCAAGAACAAGATTTAGAATTTAGAAATCTTCCCCTTGCAGAAAAATTTCAAATTTGCTTTGTTCCTTCCCCTCCATCTGCTGCTCTTGGCTATGTGAGTGTGAATTTTTCAGGTTTCTGGTAAGGAAACAGCCACTAATTCCTCTTTTCTCCCTTGATTTGGCTTGGGTTTACTCTAATTTCTTTTGGTTTCTCCCAATTTCTAGTAGATCCCCTAAATTCTCCTTTAATTTCTGTCGGCTTCCCCAACCCGCCAGCTCCGATTTTGCTTGTTGAATTTTCTGGTATGTGATAGCTCCCTCTAAGTTCCAAATTACCCATTAGTTGCTGAATTTATCCATTAATTGCCGCTCCTACGCTGTCCAAATTTCTACTGAAATATGGGATGAATTCCGGTAGCAATTAAAACAAAATTTAAGCTTAATTCATGTAGAATTTATGTGATTGGGTATTAATTGGCTGCTGAGAGGTTCTAGAGAAAAAATCTCGTGAATTAGCTATTGTTTTGCCAAAGCCGATTCCTCCATGTTGTCCGTGAATTTGGAGAATTTTGTATATGTGTGTTTATGTACATATATATAAATGCACAATTTGATTTTTGTGCTCAAATTTCGGATAGAAGAAAAATAAAGATAAATAAATAAATAAGATTGAGAATAAAATTGAAATGTCCAGTCATATGGTTATTAATTCTGAAATATTTTGGTTAGGTTCTTGATTATTTTGTCACCCTAGCACTTGGAGTGAGTTTTCTGTGTTATATGATTGAGGTAAGTAAATTATGGTAATGCCCTTCAATTTCAAAGTAAAAGCATATTTTAAATTGTTTTTGAGATGGTGGCAAAGTTTAAATTGATTTTATTAACACCTGAGTATGATTAGAATGGAAATGAAATTTTTTATATTTTTTGGGGTTAAGCATGCCCACATGGAATTTTTTTGGTTTATTCTTGAAATTTGAGATTGATTGTGAATTACGGATTTTTCCTATAAATCCTACATGGTTTTGTCTCTAATATAGTCATGATTACTGACGCCCGGTAGTGGAAGTTTGCAAATGCTAGCACATGTCGACATGTATACCAATAGAACCGGTTCATTCTGTAATCTTGCCAATGGGATAACACATTGGTTATTACTGATGCCTGTCAGTGGGAGTTTGTTAAACACTAGCCATGACTTATAGATGAGACTACTACTGAATCTTATTCTGCATTAACAATTTATCATTGAACGTTTTGTTATGTTAAATTGTTTATCAGGCAAGCTTAAATTTTACTCACGGGCTATCCATATTTTTACTTATTGAGATATCTTATCTCATAGTTTTCCTTGTCCACCATTTCATAAAATGGGACCCGAGGCACGGTTAACCAAGGGGAGGGACGAGCTAGAAGGCTAGTCAGTATTTTGGACTTAGATCCTTTTGGACTTAGGCCGTTAGCCACACATGCTTGACATAGATGTGAAATGATAAATCATTTTTTGTATATTGAGTTTCCCTTGGTTATAGCCATGACTATCTTATAAACTTTTGTACATCTTGACTAGCAATTTTTTGGTAATTGAAAGCTAGATATTAACCGAGTTTTTAGATTTAAGTTATGTAAATTGGTATTTATGAACACAGTAGGTTCCGAGTCTTGTGCATTTGTGGGACCCGTTCACGAGTACACGACATCTATTTCACTCCTGGTTTTGGGCGTGACAATCATTATGATTATTAGAGCATATTGGTGAAAATTTTCTTAAGATCTAAAGAATATTGAACGATTATTAATGTTGATATGGTAGAACTAATAGCAAATGCAAATGATGCACATAAGGCATAAGTGAAGCACATAACTTACAAGGAGCATAAGGTGAAGAACTATTTATTCCAAGCCATTGATCGTACAATCTTGGACACTATTCTCAATAACGATATTTCCCATGAAATTTGGGATTCAATGAGGAAGAAGTATTGAGGAAATGTGCAAGGACCAAAAGGTAACAGCTGTAGGCTTTGTAAATAGGATTTGAGATTCTATAGATAAATATGGAAGAATCTATTTCTACCTTTCTATATCACATTACCATAACTCATGAGGCTCTAATACCAAATACTAATAAACATCATATTCAAGAGAAAAATAATGGGAATCACTAGTCGTTTATTCCAAATGAACTAGCCTTTTGTATAGGTTTTACATAATAATTGAATAAATCTACACTAATGTAATCAACAACCTAATCTATTCCTAACAATCTAGGGATGTTATGTTGTAATCCAAAATAAGTTATTTTACTTTTTTTCAATAGAAGTTTATTGAAACAACACAGTTTTGAGATAATTTTCTTCTAAACTTTAAGAGATTAGGTGAATGGGCATTTTTCCATA